ACCAATACCCCACCCCCCTCTTTGACAAGGTCTTCCACCACTGAATCCAGACATATAACATGTTCCAGGTGTAAGAAATCCATGCTGGGTTTTCACCAGCGCTACTAAAGCATAAACATTCTATTATACAATGAGGCAGTATTCTAAAACTGAAAACTTAGAAATTAGGAAGCCCACATTGGCTGGGGCCAAACAGAATTACAGTGGACATTTAGTTTCTTTTTCTTTGAGATGGAATATCTTTTGAACTTTTTCCCATTCTCCAAAAGACAACCCAGAGCTGTGCACATTTGCTTTGACTTACCTTGACCCATTGAACTAGTGGAGGAGACAGTATTCCAGCTGAGATATTCAAAATCCTAAAAGATGGTGCAGTTGAAGTGCCACACTCAGCATGCCCAAAGAGGGGCAATGCCAAGGATTGTTCCTACAAGCCAGGCTCCAGCAGTACGTGGACCAAGAACTACCAGAAGTACAAACAGGGTTTCAGAGAGGCAGAGGAACTATAGGTCAAATTGCCAACATGGGCTGGATCATGGAGGAAGATAGGGAGTTCCCAGAAAAGCATCTACTTGTGCTTCATTGATCATGCTAAAGCCTTTGATTGATTGATTGATTGACTGATCACAACAAATTGTGGTAAACTCCTAAAGAGATGGGAGTACCAGACCATCTTATTTGTTTCTTGAGAAACTTGTCAAGAAGCAATGGTTACAATTAGACATAGAACTATAGATAGGTTCAAAATTGGGAAGGAATACAGCAAGGCTGTATTTTGTCCCCCTGCCTATTTAACTTATATGCAGAGCACATCATGCGAAAGGCTGGACTAGATGGATCACAAGTTGGAATTAAGATTCCAGGGAAAAATATCAACAACGTCATATATGCAGATTATACCAGTCTAATGACAGTAAGTGAAGAGGAACTAAAGAGCCTCTTGATGCAGGTGAAAGAAGAGAGCACAAAAGTTGGCTTGAAACATCCAGAAAACTAAAATCTGCATCAAGTCCTAGCATCTGGTCCTATCAATTCCTGGCAATTAGATGGGGAAGAAATGGAGGCAGTGACAGATTTCATTTTCCTGGGCTCCAAGATCACCGCAGATGGGGCTTCAACCAAGAAATTAAAAGACGCTTGCTCCTTGGGAGTAAAGCTATGGCAAATCTAGACAGCATCCTAAAAAGCAGAGACATCACCCTGCCAACAAAATTGCGTATAGTCAAGGCCATGATTTTTCCAGTTGCAATGTATGCCTATGAAAGCTGGACCATAAGGAAAACGCCTTAGAATTGAGGCCTTTGAATTGCGGTGCTAGAAAAGACTCCTGCAAGTCCCATGGACAGCAAGGAGATCAAACCAGTCATTCCTAGAGGAGATGAACCATGACTGCTCCTTAAAAAGCCAGATCCTGAAGATGAAACTAAATACTTTAGTCATCCAGTGAGAAGGAAGCACTCCCTGGAGAACAGCCTCATGCTGGGAACAAATAATAGCAAAAGATGGCAGAGAATGCAATGAGGTCACTGAAGCAATCGGAGTGAGCTTGAGTGGGTGGGTGCTCACACACTTCTGTGGGATCCGCTTCTCCCAGACCCAAACCAGGTCTGGATCCAGGCCACATTTCACTTTATCTGTACCAACAAGCATCTCCAAAAACCTCCTTCCATCCAAGGAGTCCCATTCCACTTTGTTTTGACTAGCCTCTTCCCATTGAGTTCAATTCTACTCAGGTCTCACTGGTTGCCAGGCAGGGAAGGGCAGCTTGCCAGACTCTAACCAGAGGCTTTCTCTCTCTACCTGTGGTGCAATGTGATTGTTTGCATTCCTATATGCCAGAAAGACTTCACCCCGTGCCTTATCCAAAAGAAGTAATTTTACTTTTGTAAAGACCATTTCAGCCATAACTTTGGCATCCCCCTATGACGGTTTGAGCAGCCTGCAAAAGCAAGCTCAAGTAGGCTGTTGAGGATGCCGCCTGAAGACATTTCCCTTATTTTGGCCAAGTCCAACAGAGTAAGACGGGGGAAGCTCTCATGGGAGTGTCATCTCTGAGAGCAGAAGGGACCCTGTTTCAGTGTGCCCCTGCTCTGCGATTTGGTCTGCTTTGCTGTCAAAGTTAGTCTTTAGTCTGCATGGAAAGGAATGCCGATATACAGAAGTGGCAAAGCAAAACACCTCCATATTATTTGCCTCAGAAAATTTGCCAACATTAATCATCCAGAGGCGCCAATTTTGGATGAGGACGCAAACAAATGATCTGGTACATGGCCACTGATTGGTACCTCCATCTCTGTATTGAGGCCATTCAAATGTGCAGAGCCAGGTCAAAAATCTCTTACTCCTTCCTTTCCCAACTCTTTCTCTGGGAATCCCCTCATTATTGCTGCACTATATGTGCAACAGATTGATGTCACTGGCGAAACAAGAAGAAAAGGCACATGCCCTTCGCAGTCCCATGGAGTGGAGGGAACCCCCAGACTGACCGAAGGAGCTGCTCAGGGACTTGGAAAGGCCCAAGAGGAAGGCAGAGCTACCTGGCTCCACAACTGGACGCCTCCCATGTAGCTCTGAATTGCATGCCATTTTGACCCAAAGCTGAATCTTGGAAACTGGAGGCTACTGATACTCAGCACGGTTACCCCGTGCAGACAAGGGTTAAAGGAAGGAAGCCAGTGAGAGACATCGGACCGTGTCCACTGCAGGACCCTGTTTGGCAGAGTGGAGGCAGCTGGGCCCTCCTGATTATGGATGGTCCCGAAGTCTGAGGGGGGGAAGAGTCCAATTCCCACTCTCTTATTCCTGTAGTGGGCATCCTTCTCCTCCAGAGCCCCTAAAGGAGAACTCCCACATGGATTCTACACAATCCACAGAGGAGACAACACATGCACAGCAGGGGAAGGTCAAATGCGCTTCCTCGGAGGGCACCGGCGAAATTGGAAGCGGAGAAAGGGGCGAGGAGCTGAAGCAGTGTGGGAACATGG